CTTGGGCAGGCACATTTTGACGGCATTAGGAGCTTGGGCAGGGAAATGCCAAGAGTCAACCGCTAACTTGGGGTCAGACTTCAGAGCGGGTAAGTCGACTGACTCCAAAAGAGCTAAACGCATGCAAACGATAAGGAGAGCTATCCGTATCAAGCAGCTGAATTGCGGGGCAAGGTGCTAAATAGCTACTTGTGGGATATTACCTGTTGGGGCTCATGCATCGGCCATTGAAGATTTGTCAAACAGATACCTAGAGCAGCTACGTAGCATAGACCTGTCTGCTACACGCCCCAAATGCAAAGGCAAAAGCAGATCGGTCACGCTTGCCATGTTTGAATGTAAGTATGATAAATGTGTTCTGGCACCTGTTATTCGCTGGGCTCCGGAAGTTTGGGCCGCGGGCATTGGAAAGGCTGCACCCACGGGTGCCACTAGGCTCTTGCAGTCGAGGCTTTCTGGGAACACATCGCACCGAAGCCAGGCCTTAGATATGACGAAGTCCGAGGTCCAGTTGCAGCTGCTGCGCGCGCTCTGGATAGGTAGGACAGGCCGGCATGTTCAATGCTTTTTCGTGCTGGCCACACACGAGGGCCAGGCTTATTCGCTCGTGGATACCTCTTCAACGCTCGCGGAGCATTGGCTTCAGGACGCATGCACAAGGATTTGGGAGATCAAAGCTGCCAGGAGCTTAAAACGCATCCAGGACACTCCGAGGGTTTGCTTTGACGTTGCCAGGAGAATCACGTTTGCCACGGGAAAGGAAAGCTTTCCGCTGGACAGGCGGCCCTCATGAGGGCAGCGGTTTGCCAAGGGCATTGGACCACCAGCAGGGCCGCCGCTGTCGCGCACTCTGTGGCCGAGAAGGAGACGCATTGGTGCACCGCCCCTTCCACTGTCAGTCTGAGGAGGCCGTCAAACTGAGAGCTGAGTTACTAGAGCCAGACTTGTCAGCCACGTGTGTAGAGCAAGCTGGCACCAGCATCGCCTATCAGCTAGGCATCTTACCCCACCCGGCCTCCGACCCCGAGGTGCCCCCCCTCCTGCTAGGGGTTTCGTCGCGGAGGTTAGGCAAGTCGATCGAGAACAGCCTCCCGCCCCCGGCAAAAGCTGCAATTGTCACGCAGGCCCCCTCGCGGCATCAGATGGCGCATGCACTAGGATTGGACTAAAATGTTTAGACAGGGCCGCCTTGGCCGTAGGAGGATGTTCGGCAGCAGGTGAATTAGAAGTCGTCATATCGGGGCCCGTCGTTTCCCCCCTCCCGCAGACGCGCGCTGTCTAGAAACCGCTCGCGGCAAGACTGTCTTATAGGAATATGCATGCTGGCACGTTTCGCACCGCTCCAGGAAGTGATAGCAGTAAGTTACGTAAGGCTGCTATTAAAGTGAAGTCCCACCAAGATGAGGACAGAGCGTCAGCCGAAGACCATGTGCCTTATCGCATCAACAAGCAGCGCGACCTGTCAGCAAAGGCAGCCCTCCAGAGGCATCCGTCGTTTGACCCCTCGTTCGAGTCGTCGTTGCAAGTCGTGAAGGAGGATGCCGCCACTATCCTCGCATGCTGGAAGCATGGCCGAGGCACCCCCGAGAGGGGAGGTTTCACGCAGTTGCCGGGTCGAAGATCCAGCTTGCTGCGGTGCATGACTGGCAGAAAGCCGAGCACGCCCCCTGGAGATGCGCCGCTTGTTTCACGTTCTCGCATTCTGACGAAGCGGTTGCGAACCGCAAGGGAGAAGCGTGCACCCCTTTTTTCTGGCGAGTTTCGGTCGCGTCTACAACTGGTGCACCCGTCGCACGCCTTGTCGTCTAGTACTTGCGCGGATGGACTTCTAGCTTTCTGCGCCAGGTGTGGAATGCACGCGACATTCGTTTTCGAAGGTCTTCTGGAGCAGTGTCCTGGGCCGCCAAAGGGCGGCAAGAGGTATCTGGCACGCAAGCGATTGCTCGATGGGCTTCACCCAGACGACGGGAAGCCATTCCAAGACATCGAGCCATTCCAGGCACTCAAGAATTTCCAGAAGGCCAGAAAGTCCTCAGCTACAGAGGCTGGGGTCATTGGCGCTAGCCACGTCAGAGGGCGATCGCTTCTGCCCGCGAGTGAAAACCTTTCCCGCTCTCGCATTCCTCTCCGCCTACCCTTCCCTCTCGCTCTACCGCCCGGGGGCAGAGGAAGGGGGGGGGGCGCGGGGAAAGCCGGCAAGGAAGGGGGATAGAGGGGATGGGGCGGGTCGGACGAAGTTAAAAGAAGCAAGAGGAGAGAGGCGGAAACGTTGGGGAGGACGTCGCCGAGAAGACACTATTTTTGTTGTTGGCATTTCCGTGGGCGAACCCGCAAGTACGAAACGGAGAAACATGCAATATCTTGATAGCGATATACCGCCACGACAATTCGTGTGAGAAGTTCGCCAGCAGGTTCACGGGTGGAGGGCGGACCATTTTCAAAGTGAGGTTATCATTGTGGTGCCGCGCACTTTCGTCTTCGACATGTGCAACATTGTCACGGATGGGGGGCTTTTGCGGTTTTCAGAATGGCGTTCTCGCTTAAGCGCCGCGGATGTTCGTTGAAACATTTAGCAACAGCTGGATTGATGCAGAACGGGGCGTTTTCAAAATGTAATGATCATTATGTCGCCGCGCACATTCGTCTAAAAAGTTGCAGCAGCTTCGAAGATGGAGGGCGGGTGGTTTTCGAAGTTGTATTTCGCTTCAGTGCCTTTCCTAAGTTCGCCACAGTTTTAAGGGTTCGTATAGTCGAAGTCCCAGGAATCGTTTTGTGGCAGAGCTTGTGAGTGTCAGGACCCAGACGTCTAGTTGATTCGCGATGTTGAAGCCCCACACGCGATGTTCTAGCACGGCTTAGGATAGCAAGGACGTAACATTCGTTGATCCGCAGCGCTGAAGTCCCAGGATCTGTGGTTTGGCAGGATTGCAGATTATCGGGCGGTTGTTTTCGAATGGGTTTTCTCCGCAATGGAAGTACATTCTTATTGGGGCTTTGACGAGGAAACCTGGACTGAGGACCCTTTGCAACATCATTGGTTCGACTTGGGTTTGCACTGGTCTTCCTCGTCCTCCTCATCCTTCCCCCTCCTCCTCCTGCTCCTCATCCTGCTCCTCTCCTGGGTGAGCGGGGGGGGGGGGGGGAGTCGGGTCTCACCGACCGGGGGGGGCCTCCTCCTCGTTCCCCTCGGCTTCGCTGGTCGATTACACGTGAGAGTGGGCCTTCGCCGGCGGTTCCTCTTGTGCGGGCCCACTGGCCCCCCCCGTTCGCCGAATGCGATGCGATAGCAGGGGCTTGCACGCTCGGGTTTGGGCTACCCCCCCCCCCTCCCCCCGCGCATCCCATCAAGCCGCGCACCAGAGGCCACTGTTGCCTCGGGGCGTCCCTGCTTCTGGCCGAGCCAGGCCAGGGCGGAGCGCCCCGCTTACCACCGGCGGCCCCAGCGGGGCCGAGGCCCTGCTGGCACCACCCGAAGAAAGCGAACCACGGCCAAAAACGACCCTCATCGAGAGTCGACAAAAAACAACGACTAACAACGACCAGAAAACGCTACGTGTTTGTCGCCGTTGGGTCTTCAGGGGCCTCCCGCGACCTCTGCGCAACTTCCGGAGGCTTCTGAGGACCCCCGATGGGGACGGAGGCCACCGCGTCGTCGATTGCCCTCCTCTGCCTCTCGCCCGGGGCAATGCTCAGAGATTCGTGCAGCTTTGTTCGCACGCGAGGTCACGCACGGCATGCTGTGCTGGTTGGTCCGCCCAGCCCCCGATGTGCCAACCCGGATATCATGTGCCGCCTCCGTGTTCGTGCCGTGCGTGACGCATCGTGTGCGACATGGCCCGCGAATGTGGGATTCTTGACGGAAGGACGCCCGTCGCTTTTAGCCCAGAACCCGAGCATTCTTCAGAATTGTTTGAAATATCAGGAAACATCCCCTTTCCTCACCCTCTTCCTCCTCCTCCTCCTCCTCCGCCTCCTCCTCTTCATCTTGCCCAGGCGGTGGCTGGCTTTGGGTGATCCGCTGCGTGGGGCGGAATATTCCATCGATTGCCGCCCCCTGGAGAACAGCGGGCTCGTCTCAGGGAAACCGCCAACCGTTTCGCTTTGTCCCACTTCGTAGGAGCTGTCCCCTGCGTTCGCTACAAGCATGTGTCCGCTGAGTCCCCAACTGACTTATGCTTTTTTCCCCCAATCAGTGCTTGCACTGAAGGGGTCCCAGCAGATGCTGAAAGACTTGGCGGAAGTTACCAGCTGCTTTCGGTGGGCGGCATGGTTCTTGGGTGCCCGGTCCTGGGTTCCCCGGTTCCTGGTTGTTGGTTTTGGGCCGAGTTCGGTGGGCGGCGGGGCTCCCAGGTTCTGGTTTCCCGGGTTCCTGGTCGGTTCAATGGATTTCACAATCGATATCACGATCGATCTCACAATCGTTTTTTGAATAGATCGCACAAGCGATCTCACGATCGATCTCATTATCGATCTCATTGAACCGACTTCATGGTTTTTCTCACGATCAACCTTACTATCGTCCTGACGATCGATGCCACTATCGATCTCACGATCGATGTCACAATCGATATCAATATCTATACCATTACAAGATCATCTACTGATTGAGGTTTCTCTCTAGTGTAATTCTTCACCCTAGCACGGGGGGGGGCTGGATCCCCCATGCAAACCCAGAGCATTTTGTGAAACCGTCCTCCTGGCCTCATGCCTGCCGCATTGACCGAGATGCGCTGTCACCACGGCGTCCGCTCCCCCCCCCGCTCCCTCCTCCAACAGTTGTGATGCGAGGTAATTCTCTTCATTCTCCCCCCTCCTCATCTTCCTCCATCCTTGAGGAGTCGGGGTCGAAGCGCCTGGCCCGTTTTGGGCTTTCGGGCGCCTCCGAGTACCTCCTGGGGCGTCAGGGGACTGGAGAGCTCCGAAGGCCCCCGAAAGACGACGACGACGACGTCTGCAACAGCGGCGGCGGCGGCGACGACCCCTCAGCAGCTCCCCGAGAGGAGGGCTACCACTGTTTCTTCTGGAAGCACAGCCCGCCGCAGCAGCTGGCGCGGGAGCTCGGCACCCTTCAGCGGAAGAGGCGGAGTACCGTGCTGGTCGCCATGGTGAGAAGTCCGTTGCCCGGCCCTCGGCCTCAGAACAGCCCGGAGAGCCGAGGCTCCGATGAAAAAATTGGAGCGGTGGGTTTTTCCAATTTCGGCCTCGAGGGGCCCTCAACGGGCCCCGGGAAGCCTCCCAAAGCGGCTCAGGATGAGGAAGACGGCCACGGGGAAGCTGTCCAGACCTCCAGGGGTCCGTGCATCCAAAGAGTTGGAGCGCCGGATGTCTGGGAGGGGAGGGGGGGGGGCAGGGAAGGCCTGCCCTCCAAGCGCTCTCCGGTGCTGCCGTTCCTCTTCATCCTCGGCGTCCTCCCCTTCCTTGCCTCCTCCTCCTCTTCCCCTACCTTCCATCCTGTTCCTCCCTCATCTCCTTCCCCTGGTTGATCTTGTTCTCTGTCGAAGAGAGGAGGATGCTGGGACAAAACTCGAGGAGGGGAGGACGTGGAGGGATGAGAAGGGGGAGGAGGAAAAGGAGGAGGAGGAGGATCGAATACAATCGTACTGGAAACTGTTCCTCGATTTTGGCCTCCGGTCGCCCGTACCGGGCCTCCAGGACCGCCAGAAATTGAATTGTGATGGAAAATGGGTCGGGATGGAGGAGGGATCTGGGGCGAGATTTTGGGCGGATTTGGGCGGGCGGGGGAGGATAAGGGGGAGGAGGAGGAGGAGGAGCGCCATAGTAGCCCCAGGACGCACCAATGATGCTGCAGCATACCCTCCCGTGCAAAGTCCCCTCCTCACAAGTCCCACACTATCATTCTTCGTCACTGCGGGCTACGACCCATGGAAAGACAAGCACCCCACGGGCTTGTCATACAGGGGCAGCCCCTTGTGAAAAGATAGGTTAGCCATTTCCTGACAAAGAAATACCACCAGAAAGTTGAAGGAACGGTCCTGCGAGGGCTCCGTTTTGAAAAGGAGCCGCCCCCTATCGGTGTACAGATTGCTGCGAGAAGGAGCCACATTCAAAAAACGGGCAGCTATCCATCCAAGTAACCGTTGGGCTTCATGAGGGAGTTTCAGGCAAAACGCTGGGCCCGCCCCACGGTCATGCCAGGTGGTGCGACGACGATAATTGTTTGCCAGGAAGGAGAAAGGGGAAGTGGAGGTGAGGGGAAGGTTGGCAGAAGGAGGAGCACGAGGAACAGGGGAACGTCGAAATAGAAGACGAGGGAGCGGGAACAGAGAGAGGCAGGACGAAGTGTCTTTGGCGGATTGCTAGCCTTGCGTGAAGATGTCCGTGGGAGAACCACGCTGAACGATCCGTCCTTGGAGCCTTCTTTTGAGAAAACTACACACGCTGGTTAGCGGTTGATTGTTAGCGGTTGGTTGTCACCCAGTCAACGGTATGACCCAGTATTGTGGTGTAGACGACAGAGTTTGAAGGATTGCAGGTTTCAGTGTGACAACGAAGGATTGCATGTTCTTGCGTGAGCGGGACATCCGTACAGGAGTTCCGCAGACTTTTTCAGCGAGTGCAATGTTGTATGCCATTTGGATGGGGTCTCCAAAAGATATGAGTGCTCGGCCACTGCATGAAATATCCAGGCGTTGCGCTGGAAAGGTGACAGATGGGAGCATTATATCCTGGCGACGGTTGGTACTTAATCCGATGATCATGTCTCGTTTTTCCGTTCGAAGTCTGCCGCATTGGCAGAATGCACAACTACAGTGACGCGGATAGTACAGGCGCGTTCTGGCGCCAAACGGGGCACAGCATCCTCAGGACGACAGAGCAAACTCACATTGTCATCGCTCGCAGTGTGTTCTTCTGTTGTTGTCGACAATAAAAAAAAGGTGGAAAAGGGGAAGGACGAGGATGAGGTGGAGGAGGCCAGAGGGCTGAGAGCACCCCCTTCCGTGGTGTTTATGTTTTTGCGCCGCGGGCCCCATTGGTAGACAGCAGGAAGGAGAAGAGATTGGGGAGACAAGACAAGAAACAAGAGAGGACGAGAAGTCTACACAGCCAGGCGCACCAAACGGAGCCGGCTAATTGACGCATGGATGATTTGTGTATGTGCCATGTGTGGATGCTCGCGCCAGATTTGATTATATTGCATGTTTTTGAGTACGCGTGTGCGTGTGTGCGCACGTGGATTGGACCCCTCGTCTTCCCCTCCCTCCTCTTCCCGTTCTTTCTCTCCATGCCGTCCCCGGGCGCCGGGCGCTGAAGACCACCGAGACTCCGCCCGATCGGTTGCCAGGCAGACGTGTCCACACGTACGTTCGTACGCATGTGTGTCTGCACGAGCGTCAGACAGCGGGGTGGATGAATTGTCCGCGCTCTTGCGGCGGAGCGGAGCGAGCCCGAGGGCACATTTGGTCAGCTGGGTGAAGGCGCCGTACGAACTGGACAAGTGTGTCAAATCTACGAAGTTCGAGCATGACGAGAAGGATCCCGGCCCCACTTGGCGCATGCGTGTGCGTATGTTTGTGGGTAATTTTGTTCACCGATGTTGTTGATGATGCCGTCTTTGTTCGATGGTAGTGGCCTGGAGTGAATTACCAAGGCCAGGGCCAGAACCTGGACTATCCTCAAGGTACTGGGCTGAGGCTTATTGATATGTGTTTCCGTTCTTACGCGGGGCTCATTTCTGGCATCTTGTTCTGGTGTGTGTGATGACGTTTTTTGTTCGGCGTGCGCCGGACAGGTGCAGCATGTTCTGCCACAGGTGCGGAGTGACACCCATATATATATACATACATACATACATACATATACATATATATGTGTATGTATTGCAGCCGCAGGACCTGAAAATCAAACCGATCAACCGACATACCGATCAACCGATAAACTGACTTATCGCAAGCGTGTCCGAATCTCAGCGCAGTATGCCTTTATCAGTTTATTGGTTTATCGGTCTATCG